CTACGAGAAAGAGAATTAACAGAACATGAAACTTACTTTGTCGTGATAGTTTAACCATGTAATTATAAAGATCACTATGCTCCATTTTATCTTGTGTACCATTTAATAATTTATTATAAACACTGTTATTAGTTACTTGTTCATCCCATTCATCAATATGATCGGTTTCATTACTAATACCATTTGTTTCCTCACACATACTTTCACTATGATTATGTCCATTCATTGTTTTATTCTTTTTCTTATTATTTCCACTTAATGCTGAATTTATTTGACCAGGAAGTGTTGTTTTATATATAAAATATCTTATAATATCAACAAAATCTCGTGTTAATAAAACACAAACACATTCTTCAATAACTTCATCTGTACATTCACCTTGTTGATAATCTAGAATTGTTGTTGTTAATAAATTACTCCACATTGTTGTTAAACGTTGTTGTATATAAGGTAAAAAAATATCAAGAAATGTAAGAAATAATTCATTAGTTACTTCTTTATCTAATGTTATTGCTGAACAATAATGTTCAACAAATGAACGACAAAAATGTCTTAAAACAATTCGAAGACGAAATGATGGAAGCGTATTTAAATTTTCAAAAAGAATTTTTTGTAAAAATGATGTTATAAAATAATTATCATCATTTAATTTTAAATAATATAAATCCGAATCATGTGCAAAAAACATACCATTGATTTGATAACATATATCAAATAATCGATGAAGATAATCACGAAGACGTTGATCATCAATAATATTATTACCCGTTGAAATTGTTTGAAACCGAATAAAACTAACAGGAAGACTCGATGGTACAGAAGTTGATGTTATCGTTGCTTTAGCCATATTATTACTTTCATACGTTCCAAGATATAATTGTTTTTCTGTTTCGCTATACGTTAAATTTATTTTTAATGTTTCATAGAATGGATTGATTTGTCGATCATATAATTGATTACAAAATTGTGTAACTTTAAGTATAAAATCTAGCAAAATAGGTCGAAGACAAGTTGTTATTTTTGAACGTAAAATAATGTTTAATTGATTTTGTTGTTGTTTTGAATAACGTAATAATAAACCCAAACAATGTAAGGCAAGCATTAAATTTCGTCGTCGATATTGTATTATATTTATATCAATTGTACTATTTGAACATAAATCAAGATATTGAATAAATGATGTTAATGAATCGAATGATAATGATGTTACTAATGTTTCATAAATAGGTTTAACAAGTTCATAGAATGCTTCAAGTTGTGTTTGATCATTATCATGTATTAATTTATAATAGAGTAATGTTTGAGCTGCATCAAGTAATTTTAATGTTGGACATGATGATTCATCAATAGTTATTGTTAATGAATTTTTTGTTAATTGAAATTCATCTTTATAAAGTTTACATAAGAATGGAAATAATTCTGAATAATAATCAATCATTTTTGCAGTAAAATTTTTACATAAATATAGAAAAGCATTCGATGCTTGTGTTTGCATAATTTCACAATCATTTGTAACTGTACCAGCAATAGATTGTTGTTGATATAATTGAAATGTTTGTAGAAGACGTTGAATAATTTGTATAGCTAATGGTGGATCATGTTGTGTAATAAAAAACATCACGGAAAGTAAATTTAATACATGTCCATGTATATGTTCACTTAGATTAGGTGTAAATTGTAATAAAAATCTTAATGTACGTAAAAATTGTTCAGTCATTGTTGATGTCATAAGGAGTTGTTCCATTTTCTGTTGAGATTTTATTGTTGATGTTGATGATGAAAATAATTCTTTTCGAACAATAAATAAAACATGATCAATTAATAAATAAAATGCTTCCCATTCAATAATTAAATATATTGATGATAACGATGTATCAATTTGATTATCAGTTTTATTCGGTGTACGTTGTACAAGAGATTCGAGACATCCAAGTAAATTTTGAAGAATAGATTTTAAACAGGACATATTTGTTTCAACCACAACAATTGATCGGTCAGTAACTGTTGTTGTTGGTGTTTCTGGAAAAAACATTCCAATAAATGATTTAATTAATTTTTGTAATTCAGTTCTATATTGTGAAAAAAATTTCCAAAAAAATTGTTCTTCACTGTCATATTCAAATAAAGCATAAATAAAACATTGTTGGTTATGTGTATATTGTTTTTTTAATATTTCATTATCATTCTCAATAAGTGTTATTGATGTTGTGGTTGTTGTCGTTGGAAAATGCACACGATGTAATGATTGTTTTAAATTTTCAACTAATTTTAAACAAAATTGTTCATTTGATAATAATGTTGGTTGACGAATAATGAATGCATTTAATGCTTGATAAGAATTTAATGATAATAAATGAAATGGATGTTGATTTAATAGAAGAAGAAATTGTAAAAATGAACGTGTTCGTTCATTTACAAATGTTAAAAATTGATCATCATCAAGTGATTTGGTTGGTAATTGTTGAAATAATTGTAATAAATAATTAGCTAATTTAACAAGAAGTTGACCAAGCATTTTCAAACAATTAAGATGATCATTGGTAACTATTGTACGTAATTGATCAATAGAATCCTAAATTTAATAAATAAATATATAGTTATTTTGCATAGAAATATCTAGATCACTATTTTTATCGCGTATTCATTTCTACACACTTTCAAAGGTTAAACATTGGCACTGTGAAAATCGTGTCTGCTTCACGATGATTCATATTGATACTACGGATCAATGCAGAGTGCTTAAAGGTGATTACTCATATCTTTGACTTGTTTTTAGATTCTCATTAATGAAACTGATGAGTGTATATGTGATACTATTGTTTTCGACATTTTGTTTTAACATTCATCAGATCCGATTTTGTTTTTCAACCTTTAGCTACTTCCCCATTTCGATGAGCAAGAACTATTTCAATCTTAGCGAAACCTCACCGTTGTCTTAGATGATATCTTAATTAAATTCTTACCGTTGGACTTAATAAAAGTCTATAGAACATTTCCAATGTTGTATCACCTAATAAATAATTAAGAAACAGTTTTTCTTGTTGACAATTTAATGCTGCGGATGGTAATAATGCAATACGTTTATTTCTTTGTTGTTGTTGTTGTTGTAATTGTCGTTTAGCTAAACGT